AGAGTGCCATGTCCAAACAGCACTCTAGCAACCCTCTTTCACGGGCAGATAGTTGAAAGGGTCAGATCCAGCCCCTGCTATCTCCCCGCCCCTCCCCAGCAAGGGCTTTGCAGCTTTTCAGGCTGTCACAGACTCCGTGCAAATTGTCTCTTTTCTGGACTGCTGGCTGAGAAATTTCTTCTTAAGAGACTACCAGGAGATAAAATGTTCGGGTATTTTAGAGTACCGCAGAAACCAGGAAGTGCTAGAGGTGAAGCCTTTTGTGGGAGATGTTTACGCAGACTGAGTATTTGACCGTTCTGAGGATCTCTACAAAGATTATGTAATCTACATTATTGTTTCTATTCCTTTTGTCTTTTGCTTCCAATCTTGGCCTTATACCTTCTTATGCATGATTACATGCTCAGACCAATAATTCACGGCCTTTGCAGTAAGCAATCTTCTCCTCCTTCTGTTCCTCTCTAAAAACCTTTGCAAATCTTTTCCATGCAGTCCTCTTCAGAGAGGTTACATCAAGCTATTTTACACTTAAACTGTTGTCCCATCTGATATTTGTGTATGTTGAAATCTAATTTTCTTCATTTTTCAAACTGCACAACTAATTAATACCAATCAGAAGATACCTAATAGATAATATTGTTGAAAAGATCACTAAAGAGTATTGCAAATACCCTTGCCAACCTCTCCTTTTTAAAGCAATACAAAGGGCAACCCAAGTTTTATCTCCTTAACAGGAAGGTTTTTCTTTCATTGTTGTTTTGTGCTAGCAGCTCTCTTTCTCCCCTGATCTCATGTAAGATGATTACTCAAACATAATTTAGTAAGCTCAGTATATTCTTATTTTAGATGTGATCTTTTTAGCAACTAATGATTTTTTTTTTTTTTGGTAAAGTTAATTTCTGTAACTAGCCATAATACACACTTGGCCTATTTATAGATCCACAATGCTCTTTAGGCAGTCGTTACATTTTCTGTCCTAGCCTAGCTTTTAGATCTCTTGCTATTGTTAATCTCCACAGCTCAAATTTGCCCAGTCTGAAATCCTTCATTGTACGTCATTTAATGAGACATTTCTGCAGTCATCATTACTACAGATCAATAGAAACAAATCCCCGTCTCCTGACTGGTTTAGCTAAGTATCTCACGCATGACTGTCTTTCCAATTTTATCCAGTGTAACAGTCTGCTTTTTTTTTCCCTTTTCTCCTTCTCCACTCCCCTAATCTGCAGATAGATATAAATCTTGAGTCAGACTCCAGGGGGTTTCTCTTGTATGCTCTTCCCTCTGTTTGTGCAAAGCGTTCCCTGACCGGTTGGCTGTTTTTTTCCGGCCAAACAGCTGCCTTAGCAGTTGCACTAACAAATAAAAGGGGTGGGAGGCAGGGGCAGTGGGGGAAGCTCTTTGCCCTTAGGGTCCGTGTTCACTTACTTTCCCGAGAAATTTGAAAGCTAATGAGGGCCCATTGCTGGAGGGAAAATGAGAATAATCTGTGATCTTTGGGAAAGAGAAATGTCACCGCTAGTAAGTGCTTCATGTCAGCATATCTTTTCAGGACTATTCCCAGAAGACAAAGGAGTTGGACACTGATAACTAAAAGCTGAGATTTTCCTTTTAATTTCTCTGCTCAGTAGGCTGGCTGTGGGATGGACAGTCTCTCCTTGCTCCCTTCTCCCCGCTTCTCTCCCCCACCAAGACAGGATCCACAAATGTTGTTGCATTTTCAAGGAATTTTTATTGCTATGTAACTGGACACAGGCAGTCCACATTAGACGCAGATATTTTGGGGCTGGCTGGGGGGGGGCGTCTTTCCCCTTGCCTCCTCGGGCACCCCCTTTCCCGTTTTCTCAATCCTTCCAACTGCTGCTGGGTGCTATAGTTTTGTGAAACTGCGCTTAAATGGCAGCACGTATTTTACTCAACGAGATTTTAGGAGCTGGACTCACGCGTGACAGCAGGTTAAAATTATATGGCTGAAGTGGGTACTGGCTGGGGCAGCTCGGGGCTGCCCCTTTGGCGGAGGACCCCGCGGCAGGGAGGGCTGAACACCTCCTGGACCCAGTCTGCCAAGAGCTGCCCTGAAATTCGAGAGCTTTTGCTCTGGACTATTGAGATAAACGGAAGCTGACATTAGTTTATGTTCGTGTGTTGGGCTGTAACCTTTGGTAGTTCAGGAAATGCTTCCCAAAGGGATCAGTCATCGTGGCTGTAGGGGCAACACCCCCGTGTCTGTGTGCTGGGGTGCGTGGTGGGGGGATACTGACCACCTACCTTGAGCAAGTGATCTCAGGCTACTGCTGTAAGTAAGTTAAGAGCCCTAAAACTGTGTCTGAGTTCACTAATCTGTATATGTTCATATTCCTATATATATATACATTCAAGCACACTGCCTTTACTGATCCTGATAATTCCAGTTGTAAAGAAGATGTTAGTTACTTGTGCTGCTGGCAAAAACATGTACGTTTTTATCCCCTCAAGATATAGTAGCCCATATTCATACCTATCAGAGCTGATCGTTCATTTGTATGTATTTTTGTTGTTCTCAAGGGAATTTTAAAGATGAAACTTCTCTTTGTGAGGTGCTCTGCTATATGCTATTTTCAAATATGGAATTGCAACAGAATTTACTTTTCTCTAGTAGTCACTATGTTGTTGTTTTGCTGCTCATTCACACTCCTCTCCTTCACAAATCCTAGAATTTTCTCCCCTAACACTGATCTTAAGGATGAAGGAAATGATGTGTTGCAAGTGGATCTATAATATAAAGAAGAAGCTTTATTAATCAACTCTCATAGGGTTTGAATCCCTAGTTCTGTGTCAAGATGCAGTCTTATGGAAGAGATGACCTTAAAAATAATAAACAAGTTAATATTCCACAGATTTTACAACCCCCCCACCTTTTAAAGTTCAGTTTCTAAAGCCTACAAATACTCTCTCCCTGAAGGCTGCCCTTGATATTTAAGTGACAAATCCAGAGGCTTAGACGGCTGCTATCATTTGTTTGGCCACTGTGTTACAAGGAACATAACAGGAGACATTTCCGCGCTTTTTTTTTTCTTTGAAGATACTGGTTAATGGCATGTTACAGTGACACCTGGTGGAAAACAGTCTCTGAAGTCTAAGAAAAAATTTTGGTTCTTAAGTTGTTCTTTTCAGTAATGTCTTTAATATTATTATTTCATTAACTATCCATATTGCAGTAATGGTTACAAGTTCTCCTCAAGGACAGGAGCCCATTTTTGCAAGGTATGCATGTCAGTACCCATATATAAATATTCCAGTGATCTCACACAAGATTTATCAGCATTAGTAATGACAAATCTTTCCAGTTATTACAAGAAAATGTTAGTTACATGCATTTGACAGCAATGAATGTACACTCCCCTGTAACTCCTCAGGACTTGCAATAGTCTGTATTGATTCTTAACAGAGCTGAATTTTTGTTTCATATACAAGTTAGCATATGTAGTATTCAGTATAGTGGCCAAATTTCCTTCCCCTAAGACCTAAATACTAATACTTTTTACGGCTGCCAAACTTCCTCTTCTTCAGTTGTGCCTTGATTACATTCCTCACCAGGACCTTAACTTGATCCCTCCCGTTCCCTCTTCCTACTCCTCCTTATACGTCCCCAAACAAGAACCAGAACACATCCTTCTGTGCCCTAGCCTTATTCTTCCTGTCAGTCATGCCTTCCCAAGCCCCATCTGCACCTGCTCCAGGCTCCTGATGTCCTGGACATTTATAGCCTTTGACCTGCGAAGAGCTTGCAGTGTCAGGCTTTTACTGTCTTTTCCCTCCAGCGGGGCAGTAGGAGCTAGGGCAACGTACTTGTCCCATCCCAAACCCGTGTGCTGTAGGGTCTCTTCAGCTCTGTGATCCCACATGTTGGATGCGGCTATTCAGTGTGATCAGTGATCTGCCAAGCAGCTGTACCTTATACATAACATTATGGAGTAGAGGCCCAAGTTAAGTGGTGCATCCAGGGGGATAATGCAACCTTTGGCAGTCCAAGAGCACAGTCACCAGCTGCCTTTGTGGTGACCCAGCACCAGCGGGATTGACTCCACCCCCTGCCATGGAGGATGGGGCATCAGGTAAAGGGAGCTGTAGGAGGCAAGCTGTGATTTGGCTGCTGCTGAACTATACACTTCTTCAGCGTTTGCATAGATGTAGCATAATGGTGTAGTTGGTGCTACCCCAGAATGAATAATGGACATAACCAAACAATTTCTTAAACAAACAAACAAAAAAAAGGTTGAATAACTGAGAGCAACTCACAAAGTTTTTTTAAAGACTTTAACTTAGGCACACATGTTTATCCAGGCTACCTCAGCTAGTAAATCAAAGCTGTGCCAGGGAACGTTCCCGATCGGTAGGTTTTGGTAACTACATGGATGAACAGTTAGGTTGTTAGAATGGTCCCTGGCATGGTTTTTGTCCGTGTCAGCACTACCCCAAACAATTGCCAGGAACAGTATGGGAGCTAGTAAAAGCCAGGGACCATTCTCCATAGGTGTTTTGGTTGTGGCCATCTTCTTTTGGAGTGCCAGAGAGTTTTCAAGTGTGATGTGGGCTGTTCCATACCACTTGGCCTGGATGCCAGGGTTTTGGCCTGGGCACATTTAATTTGCTGGCCACAGAAATCAAA